GGACAGCCCTCTCTGTCTGCCACCTGTTCCATGTATTTACTTATTTCTGATAACTTGGCTGAAGTGCCAGAACTGAAAGATATTTCTTACGATGAAAAGAACTCCAAACTGACATCTTATCTGATTATTGCGCTGGTTTCTGTGTCTACCTTCTTTCTAACCTTCATCATCATCATCCTTGGTGTGAGATTTTGTCAGAGACGAAAGCCCAGACTGTTGTTTGATGGAGCAGTTGCCATCCCCGGAGCTTATCTGCCCCCAAACTACTCAGATGTTGACGGAACAGGAACCTTACACAGCTCCTATAATTATGACACCTACCTAACAACAGGATCTAGAACCAGTGACTTTAAGTTTGTGTCATCTTACAATGACAACACACTTCCTGCTGACCAGACTCTGAGGAAAAGCTTAAGTGATTTTGTTGAGGCCTTTGGAGAAGTGGATGCATGCTCAGAGGTATGAAGACATTCCTAAACATTTTTGCAGCTATTCTCACTCACCCAATCTGTTCTGTGTTCTTATGGTGCTTTCTTTTCCATGGGTACTCCATATTTCAATTTTAAATGCTATATTAGAAAGTTATTCTCCATAATACAATGCATTTATAGGTATACATCTTTATAAAGTTATTTTTCTTTTATTTTTTTTGTATAGAAATATACTCAATACATTATGTGTGTGATTGTGTGCATGAATGGGTGCATGACAGAATGTGGTGAAAATACTTTGCTTAAGTCCACTGACTTGACAAAGTGCTATATAAATACAAGACATTTGTGTACTTGTCAAACTCAATCACTGCTGTTGTTGGTCACTGGCTCCCTCTGGTCCTGCAAAGATGAATTGGTGTAAATTGATTCATGTATTCTATTTTATCTTGATTATTGAATCATAATTTGCATTTGACTTGTAAGGATGGGTGTGTTGGGATTTTTCCTTTTTGTTGTTTCCTTTTCTGTATGATTTTTCTTCCTATTCGTCTTACATCTTTATTGTGTAAACATTATATCAATTTACTACATTCCTTTTTTTGCATCCGTCAATTTCCTGATAAGCAATTCTTCGATATAATGTTGTAAATCCAAACAAAATCTGTATATTGTTTTTCCTTTAAGATTTTTTTCTCGCTTATCCTCAACTTCATAACTTTTAGTCAGTGTTTAGACATTACTTTTTGTTCTCTGGCCATCATCTTTATATAGGGGTAAATATCCACATGTGCTCAATAGCTATAAATAATTTAAAGCAAAAACAATATAAAAGCTAGAGCATATCGTCTTTTTGGCTTTATTATAACATTACATAAACTTTGCTGTGTCACTTGTGCTGATATTATTTCAAGCTTTGACTTGAGGTTCTTTTTATTCTGTCTTAGTTTGACCTGGGGACTATATATGTGATTTCCACTTTGAAAAGATGCTCTTACTTTAGAAGGATATATTTTGTTTTATGATTGGTTCTTTGGACCTTTTTTCATAGTATTTTTTTACTGGACAAGAATGTACTCCCAGTGATGATCATGACTAAATATTTTCGTTCTGGATTCTTTCAGCAAGTTATTTGTTCTGATACACAAGAACTAGTTAAGATGTCAAAATACTAGGAGAGAAAACATAGCTAGTAGAAAAATACTATTAAGAAAACAGGTTAGTGTAGAGACATGGCACAGATACACAGCCCTCTTAGCAGTATTAAATGTTATATGATGGTAATATCCTGGAAGAAAGACACATGAAGTGATTAGCTATAATACTACTGTATACTATGCAAGCAAATCCCCACTGTTAATTCATGGTCTTCTAGGAGGAGCAGATACTATAAAGTCAGTGATGGTTGCAATCAGATAGGTTTCGTTTGATAGAACAATTTTAATCAGTCTGTCAGTAAGGTTTAATTATATCAGCTCTGTTTAGTGCCTGGAGATTATGTGTTATTAGCGCAATAAGAGTTAACTCAATTAAATTAGGAAGAGAAAGGTCACTGAAAAAGATTATTTGTACTCTTTAAAAAGGAAAAGTTGGCAGGACTCAAAATATTAGTCAACAATCCTCAACAAATTTTAAGTTTAGGGCTTTACCTTAATCATTTAACTTTTGCTTTAAATTTATTACAACTTTGAATTCTGTATTATTGTAACTTGAAATGTTGATTTGTTTCAACCTAAGTGAAGGTAGTGGTGATTTAGAGAAGCTGATAAATACACTTCAAATCGTAAACCTCTAACTAAAGAATCATACTTTTTATTTAGAGCTTATTGTCCCTTAGTTTGGAAATGTATAATTACATTTTCACCTAATCCCTTTTTGCTTCAGTTACAGTAACAGTTACAAACCTCTGATCCCGGTTGCTCCAAAAAGCAAATGCTGTGCTCAATAACTAATAGGTCACCCGATGGCAGTTCCAATCCCTGATGACTGGTAACTTAACAATGGGCCTACTAAGAATGAAATAAAATGCTTTCTTGTGATTGTTGATAACATATAATACTATTTTGATTGTATCTATTTAGCGGCACTTTTTATTGTTTAAGTTAAAATAACAGTGAGCCCCCAACTCAAATACCAACTGTAAAACTTCTTGTACCTGCATTTCACACCAAAAGTGCAAAAATTAGCTTAACTTTAATTTAAAATGATCAATAAGTTAAAGGTATATGTCCTGGCAAATCACTTGATAAAGTTATATATTATAACTGTCTTTGTTTGCTGAACTGACTGAAATAATTTTCCCTATATTTAACACTTAGGTTTTTGGGTTTACACAACAAAAAAAAAAAAAAAAACATTTCTTAGCTAAAAAAAAGTTGTTTTTTTACAGTGTAATGAGGTCTAAATAAACTGAATTTAGTCACTATTAGTTTGCAAAGGTTTTTAACAAATATTTATGACTTATCGCTATTCTTAAACAATCTTCTTTTCTTAAAAATTTCACCCGCTTATTTCATGTTGAGCGGTGATGAATTTTTCTCAGGGAATGGCTTGACAGATTCAGACCATGTCCTCATCACAGTTTGGAATGTAATATTAGAAGTTAATATTTCTACTCCTGGTTTTGACATGTGTTTTCAAGTACAAGTTTCTTTATGTTTTTCTTATTAAGTTGTGTTCCCTCCTGGTTACTTTATTTGTTTTATTTGATTGTATTGCCTGATATTGGATCTTCACAGAAATTAGAATATTCTGATATAATTTCTTCTTAGGCTTATTTGGTAAAGTGTTGTTGTAGCTTTTACAGTTGATACAGTGGATTCAATAAATACTTATCCTGCTGCACTTTTTTCACACTTACTTTTTTAAGCTTTGTTTCAAATGGTATTGAATTAATTTCTTTCTACAAAATTCTGAACAACATCCTCTATTATGACAATACGAAAGACCCTTTTTTAAGATTGTGTCAAATTTATCAAAAATAGAAAAGAAATTACAGTAGTTTTGTATTTAAGTATGAATAGAGCCTGTTGTTTAGCAGCACCATACTGTGGGATTGTTTTTAGCAGGAAGGACTAAAAAATTATATAGGATGAAGGAAAAAAAGGGAATGCAGACATGCCTAGAGATATCCTGGATTAAAGCCTGCTACAAATCTTTATCAACTCAGACTCAGGCAGTGGTTCCATTTTCAATTGGAAAAACTAGAGCACACAGCCAAAATATTAAACAAGTAGCTGAAAACCCATGAATGCTGTGAAGTAGATAAACCAGGATCTGGACTGAATTTCATTAAAGTTTTGAAAATAGCTCGGCACACTTTTCTCAACCTGATAGAGCTTGAAATGTGCTTAATTAGGGAAACATTTAAAAGTTGGATTTACTGAGGTTGCATCTGTATAACTTACATATGCAACATATAGTGTAAAAAAATATATTTTTATGGTTGCTAACAAAAATTAAGAACATGCATAACTGTAAATAAAACATATGATCATTTTATTTTCAAATGAGTTTAACAATTAAAGTATTATGTTTTTATCATGTTCGACTTATTACACAAATATTTGCACCCTTGTGTATCCTTTTCTATGTTAAGGGTTTACTCCAGCAATGAAAAGAAAAAAACAGTGTTATTTGAAATACAGTCAGGTGAGAACTGAAATATGAATCCAATATGTTTTATATATGCATTCTTATTTTCAAAAGTGTAAAAAGAGTTATCCAAAATTCTAATTATATTTATGATTAAGTGAGAAGGATTTTCTTGACAGCATGAAAACATAAATGTCTTAATCAAATTTAATTGTTAATACCCCGATTGCTTGAAAAACAAAACTGTATATTAGGCTAAATGAAGTTGTTAAAAAAAAAAAAGCAAAACTAACTTTATATTTTGATCGTTATGTGCAAAACTTCAAATGATAAAAATTTTTGGAAAGCTCATTTTTTTTTATATTAATAGAAAGTCATATGTATTATAAAGAGATGAAGATAACATAAATTTACATTTTGGAATATTTGCTGAGATTTTTCTTAAACTGGACCCCACGGTGGCGCTATATAACAGGCTTGAGAAATGTAGATTCCTTAGTCGTTTTGCGCTTATCGTATTCAAACTATGCTCCTGTCTTGTCGAGGACAGTCACGGATTTCTAAAGGTGGTGAAGGATTTTGAGCTGATATTGTTCTTTATATGA